GAGTCCACCGAGAGGTGAACCTGTGTCGGACGGAATACCGGCACTACTTCGGACGATTCACAGCTGTTCCTACGGAGACGCTGAAAGGGTGCGTTAAATGGAACTCCGTACCAGTGGAGACACCTGCTACAGGTAAAGAGTTGATTTACACCACCTAAGTGTACCGAGGAGGAAGCTGGGATCTCAACGGCGCGTGCCGTTCTGATACTGACACATTTCCCTCATCCATCTTTTCCTCTCCATTTAAACTTCATTTCCATCTTTAAACTCTTCTATTTTGCTAGAAATCATTCCAGATATTTTCAGAAATGTCTGTTGTGAAGCAACGGAAAACCATGGCCGTATGCACAAAGTTTGTTTTCTCAGTCATCCAGGTATGTTGTGTTTTTGAAACCATTAGTGAAAAGGCCAGACCTCAGGGGTATCTGAGGCAGGCTTGAAACACAAGAGTCAGGGTGGCTTCTGGGTAATACCAGATGGCTAGGCCTCAGACTGACGAAGCCTCTTGGACGAGGGGCGAAACGTTTCTTTTTAACAAAAAAACGAAGTCCAGATGACATGATTCAACCTTTTTTGTCATGGCCGTATGGTTTTCCTGACTGTAAAGCTAATAAATTAAGCTGTTGTTATTTTCAATTTTGCCAAATTAATGTAAATGTTTGATGTTAAACTTTGATTCTGTTAATAAATGACCGCATTCATTTGATGGGTCAAAGAAAATTAATGTCTCACGTTACATTTTAATTATTCAATGCACGATATTATTCAGTCCAGAAAAATGAATGAATCCATTTAATTTATGAATATATCACAGGTATATGTTCCTCTACACTGGTAACAGCTGTTTTCCATCATGAAGCTGTTAGGAATGATGTCATCAGCTCACACAGTTGTCCCGCTGGGTTTATTACACATGAGACGCCTCCAGAGGTGGTTTGCGCGTCTGCGTGTGGATCCAGAAAAACAAAAGAGACGGATGATCACTGTTCCTCCCTCCGTGAGAGCCGACCTCCGACACTGGGGAAACACCCTGGTTCTGTCGGAGGGAGCCCCCGTCAGTAGACCCACGTCACACGTGCCAGTCTTCACGGATGCGTTGCTGTCAGGCTGGGGGGGGGGGGGGGACATGCCTATCTCAAGCAGTAGGGGCGCTGTGGCCCCATCATACATCTGCCCACATAAATGTTTTGGAGTGCCACACGGTGCTGAACGTGATTCAACACTTTGCTCCTGTGCTGCAGAATCAACACGTTTGGATTCACACAGACAACAAGGTTACTGCTGCGTACATAAACCGGCAGGGCGGTGTGCGCTCAGCCCAGATGTTTCACATTGCGAGAAAGCTACTGTGTTGGGCTCACCAAAATCTGCTCTCCATCAGAGCAGTTTACATACCCAGTGTTCTGAACAAAGGGGCAGATGTGATGTCCAGGGGCGGTCCACGTCACGGGGACTGGACTCTCCATCCAGACCTGATGACTCAGACGTGGCAGAAATTTGGCAAAGCAGCTGTGGACTTGTTTGCGACACGAGAAAACGCTCAGTGTCAACTATGGTTTTCTTTGAGCCCGCGAGATGAACCACCGCTGGGGGTGGATGCGTTTGCCCACAGCCCATGGCCCAAAACACTTCTGTATGCGTTTCCTCCACCTCCTCTGATTTTACAGTTCCTGAACCGAGTTCAGAAGGAGGGATTGACAGCTCTCCTGGTGGCCCCCGAGCGCATGAACGCACCATGGTTCCCAGTCCTGCAACGCCTGCGGTCGGGGCGCCCGTGGAAACTGCCTTGGAGGGAGGATGCTCTCCTCCAGGCAGGAGGAGCGATCAGGAGTTACCCAGAAATAGGCCAGCACCTGTGGGTCTGGCCACTGAGCGGATCCGCTTAGAGAGCATGGGTCTCCCACAGGATGTAGTGCGCACAATCTAGGATTCACGTGCTGCATCTACCACAGCGCTGTACACATCAAAGTGGACAGTTTTTCAGCGCTGGTGTACAGAGAAAGGTGTAGAGGTCATCTCATGTCCACTAGGTAGCATGCTGTCCTTTCTGCAGCAGCTGATGGACAGGAATTTGGCGTCCAGCACGATTAAAACATACGTCACTAAGGGTTCGGAGACAGAACAGGTTTTAATCTTTCGCTGATGAAGCGTTTTCTAAAAGGTGTACAGAGACGCAGGTCTGTTTCACCCACTTGCTCCACAGTGGGTTTTAACGCTGGTCCTGCGAGCTCTGATCAAAGCCCCATTTGAGCCTCTGGATCAGGTCCCAATTAAATTCTTGTTTCTTAAAACAGCCCTGCTGCTGGCTTTAACATCTGCTAAGAGGGTGAGTGATTTATCTGCCCTTTCTGTTGCTCCGTCATGTCTTAGAATTCAGGCTGACGGCAGCTCGGCTGATTTAAGACCAAATCCAGCTTTATGCCTTAAACATCACGAGCTCTTTAAATCAAGGGTGATATCGTTGGAGGAGGTTTTCCCTTCCCCCCACAAATCAGAAGAAGAGGCGTTTTTCCATCTTCTCTGTCCGGTGCAGGCGTTGACGTGTTACATAACACGCACAGCTGCAATGCGTCAAACTCAACATTTGTTTGTGCATTATAGAGATGCACCTGCAGGTCGCCCGTTATCCACCCAGCGCTTGTCACACTGGCTGTGTGAGGCCTTTTCTGAAGCCTACAGAGCATCAGATTTAGAGCCTCCTGTCAACCTCAGAACACACTCGACTAGGGGTATCGCATCTTCGACTGCCTTGCATAATGGTATGGCAATGCAGGATATTTGCACTGCGGCCGCGTGGTCAACACCCTGCTCATTCATTCACTTTTATCTACGTGATATGAGTGCCAGTTCCATGACACATTCTGTCCTTAGTGTTACAGAATGAATGTTATTGTTTCATGGAACTCTGTTTTACTCACATCTGTCTGCATGCATTACAGTGTGAGATGTTGTTATCAGTCACAAGTTGTGATTGTTATTTTGGTTCTATTATCACTAATCAGTTCATGACTATTGTTACCAATCAGTTCATTTGATTAATAATCAGCTCTCCTGTTATTATTAATCTGTTCATACTGTTCAGCCATAACCGGTTGGTTCATGGCTCTTTTCAGCATATTTTCCCTCCCCGTTTAAATTTTTTCGGGGCGTTCATGCATTCAGAACGCATAGTTACACAACATGCGTCTGTGCATGGCACACATAATTACGCAATGCGTAATTACGTACATGGGGAGCTGAGTGACAAGATGTTTTTTGGGCAATCTTCTGCTTCATACGGTGTTCGAATGGACCCAGTGAGGCGAGGACCACAGCCGCTTCGCCCTTAACCCATCAGCGACAGCCTTAAAGGGCGAAGCTTATACGAAATAGAACGTTGGTTACGTACTGTAACCCCAGATTCTATGAGTATAAGCGTAGCCCTTTAAGCGTCGGGCCTCACTGGCTCCTAAATGGCTGAAGAAAAGTTATTTGGGAGCCGATTACCCGCTCTTTACGTAATTTATACGGACCGGGTGGGGCCCACACAGCAGGTGGGCGTGGACTAAATTTTTTCAGTGTAATGCTTTCGCATAACGGGATAAACCATCAGCGACAGCCTTAAAGGGCTACGCTTATACTCATAGAATCTGGGGTTACAGTACGTAACCAACGTCATCGTGTAAGTTAATTTGCTGTGGCGACCAGTGAAGAAGGGAACATACGAAAGAAGAAGAAAAGAAAAAAAAATCTACAAAAAAAATCAGAATAATGAAGTTAAATGACATCATTCACAAATATTGAGTAAAAATTTAAGGCACATGTTTTGAGTAAATATAAGTTTTGTTTTCTCGCTCTTTCAAATTCAGGTTTCGTTTGGTCGGGATTTTGAGCAGCAGCTGAGTTTCTGCGTGGAGGCCAGAGCGACCTTCTGTAATCTGGAGCCGGTTCTGGTGCAGCTAATCCACGTCAGTAAGCATTTTCATTCAGAGTCAGCTCACACAAACTCCAGCTTCATGTTCAGTGTGTGTTGTTTTCAGACGGTGAACCAGCTGGCCATGGAGACCAGGAGGGTGATGAGAGGAAGCCACTCCCGCAAAACAGCAGCGTTTGTCAGAGTAAGTTAACAAGGGGTGTAAGATAGATCGATTTGTTCTGAGTCAGCAGTTTACATGTGCACAACGCAGCTGCATGTGTAGAGTAGCTGGTGCATCTGTTTATTTATTCTTAGTACCGCCTCTTTATTCAATTTTAAAAAAAAGTGTAAAAAAAGACAAACATAAACACACTCTACCAGGCCCAGAGTGGCTAATCGGGAGGACTGAGATATTTCCCGGTGGGCCGGTCTGATGCAAGGCTGCAGGGCTGGCCCTCCCTGTTTTTTTTTATTTTTACAACTTTTATTAACAAAATAAAAACACAGAACATGCTACCGCTGCTCCTGGACCGCCCTGCCTCCACCCAGGGCCGGCAGCAGCTCTTGTTTTTTTGGTTTTTTTGCAAGAGTTGGATCCTCGAGGCCACCTGTCAATCAATCCAGTAGGCATGTCAGCAACTGACCAATCTGCAACTTCAATTTGTCCCAAAGGTAAATGTCCCTTACCTGCAGAGCTGCAGCCCGTCAGGGTTTTACTTTATGGCCTCTTTGCAGTCAGAGGGATTTCATGAAAAATCATCAGAAATTTTTTTTAAACATTGTCAGTGGGGAAGATGTAATAAAGACACATGTTACACTGAGCATTTAGAGGGTGGAATACAGTTTATTCTATTTCAAAAACTAAACAAAGTTTAAAAAAGTAAAAGATGAAAAAAGCCAGCGACCAACCCCATGAGCAGATGATTACTGTACAACAGTTACTGTATAAACAGGAAGTGCCACATGTTCATCTGAATGAAGGTAACTGCAGGTAAATCCTCCATTATTTGTCATAATTACATTGTACACTTAATGATTAAATATCCTGATGCATGCTCAATAATACAGGTAGAAAAATCTAAAAAAGTTAAATCTGGTCCTCTGGACATTCAAAAAAACAAAACAAAGCAAATCAACAAAAAAATGTAGAGACGAAACGTTTCTACATTTTTTTGTTGATTTGCTTTGTTTTGTTTTT